AACTTTTTACGCGCGTACATAAGTACAAGCACCCTTTTTTAAAGACATTACTGACAGTGAATCACTTCTAATATAAAAAAGTGTTTGTAGAACTACGCAACTATAGTTTATAGTTACTTAAATTGTTTCACTTTGACACGGTTGCATCAAAAATTTCCCGAATATGCTTCGAGTTGAAAAATTCAACTTCGCCAGCCCTGTTTCCGAGAAATCTTAATAACATAGTAAATTTCCTTTACGTATGAACACAACGTTGCCATCTAATTATTTATTAATTAACTTTTCTAAAGTTACACGAGGAACAATGTTACTTATTTAAGGTCGTGTTTCATTTTAATTAACATATTCAATACAGGTTGACGTGTATTGAAAACTTTGTAAAGTATCAAAATTGTATATGCCTTTATTAGCTGTCTGATTTCCTATATAAAGAGTGCTCGTGGTGATAAAAAATTATATATTTTTTATATGACCTCGTTACGCAACAAAGGATTATAAAGTAGGTATATAAAAATATTTTCTAATACCCTCAAAAACACACCATAAATGAATACATGCTACAACAGAATAATAATAATTCAGTGGCACTACAACCGTTTATTCGATCATTTTTATTTCATGGACGAGTAGGGGATCAGCCTTCTGTCTGTCACCTGTCGTCGATTAGTATTAGAGACATTCCGCTGTCCTCGCGTAGTTCTTGTTCATACACAGAAATTCCATTGGCATAGCAGGGACAAAACACAGGGACTCGGTTTTACGACCTCAGGGATGAGAGACGCTAGCTGAAGCTACTAGGCCAACACTGCTACTTAATCATCTCATTATATACAACTAATAAACTTAAACAGTTTAAAGAAGTAGATATTTTGATATTAATTCAGTCATTTTAAATTTAAAAATTTCGACAGTACTTCCCGGGTGAAAAAATTAGTTTTAATAGGAAAAATATGTTATGCATGAAGTATTTAAAAATGAACAAATTTTATATAAGGGAAGTGTTTGGAAAAATTGGCTTAATGTAGGATTTCATCCTTAAAGATTAAAACAAATGTATTAAACATCTAATAAAACAATTCACTAAGAGAATTGGTTTATATGAAAAAAGCGGGTTGGTCAGAGGAGATTGTTTCGATATTCAGATTGCTAAAATTATTCGGCACAGTATCTACTGTACTGTACTGTACATATATCTATATGCTTTGTTAAATGTCCACAACCGTTTGTGCACACCAATATAATTCAATTGAAATACAGAACTATAGGAATTAAGTTCCTAATTAATTTTCGATGCACGCTATTTATCATTACGAATTCCATTGGCAATAATACACTCTGTTCCATTATACGCTTCGACATGGGAAATTTATCGTTTGCATCGAAAGCAATGATGTTTTTTCCACAGTTTTTCCGTCGGAGTTTTCCTAAAATCACATTCTAATCGCTTCCCTTGGAGCAATTTCGAACATTCCTCTTTCACGTATATTGACGAAAATGAAGCGATATCGAATGTTATATTTTGGGAATTGAATATATTAGATATTTCTACTATGATTGTTTACTTAAATAACGTGTATGTTTTTCATTTGATTTATATCTTTAACGATTATCTCTTTACTTAAATTTGTAGTTAAGCTATTTAAACGTAAAACGTAGATGTTTCCCCAAACAGAGTCAATGTTGCGAAGTTTATTAGAATTTGCGGTATCATGTTTTAGCAGAATCAGTATTGATAAAACGGTGCACAATTTCCGGTCGCGGCCGAGCGATGATTACAATGATAAAGTACTGCCATTCAATAGATTTCACGTCATCAAACCTTGATTTTCACAGTTTAACAAATAAACTATCTATTTTCATCAAAATACTATCTTATTAGGTTACAAGTTTTGATTTTGACATTTATTAAACATCAATATTAGATTAATGGGAAGATCAAAAGTAACTTTTTTTTTAAAATTAAATTAAAATTTATATATATTATCTAAAGATATACACTAATATGTCTAATTTTATGTATCTTATATGTAATTTTAAGAAAATTATACCGTGGTGAATCTAGTTAACTATTCTTACGGTGCTATAATATAACTTAATGCAATTTCATGTGCGTTTGGACATTGACAAATGGTTATGTAAATTAATTTTAAAAAAAAATTATCAAAAAAACTAAATATATTATATTATATTTTTCGAAACTGCTGCTTTCTAAATAAGTACAATATCTTCAGTTACATAATTTCAAAATGATTATGAAGGCTAAGGATAAACTGAAAAGTGATAAAAATTTACGCTTTTACATAATAACAAGCTATCGATGATAATGTAATAAACTGTGCATCATATTTTCCTGAACTCAGTCAAGAACGTATTTGATGGAATTATCCGTGATGGCCGCCTGGGGCCGCTCTTCGGATCGCGTGCTATGAAATGTATATATTTTATTTATAGTTACATATAAATATTACTTTGATAAAAAAATACCTACATTAATGACGTTGTAAAAGTTACATTATATTATATTAGTATAAGAAGTAGGTATATAGTTGCATTTTCGTATATGTAATAACATTTTTACACATACGAAATTTAAGTTTTTATCATAGTAATTTTTTATTATCAGAAATCAATTTGACGAAAAAACAAATGAACGTATTTTTTTCTTTTGTTAAAAATTCCAGGTAGAAAGAAATAATGACATGCATTTTTAAAACCAATACCTATGCATGTTCCATTTTCAAAATCGCAATAAGATAAGACCGCAAAAACGTTATGTGTAAACAAATTGATAACGTCTTATTAAAATAACGAATTTAGGGATGATGGAAATTTCATTACGTAATCTAAATATAAAATATTAAACATTCGATACGCCATCCTAAATTCTTATGGAAAACAATAATAAGGACTTTGTCGATTATTGACAAAGTTCGTCCACTGTTTAATCTGTTTTAAAATTATAAAATGTATCATCTTATCAGTTTCTATATATGCTTTTTAAATATGATGCAATAGTAATTCAAAACGGTAATAAAATTTAACAAAAAGTAAGCAACTTGACAATAAAATATAACATATTTTAAAAAGGAAATGTGTTAACATCTAAAAAATGGCAATCTTCAAATCAAAACTATTGTGTATTTAATAAAAAAGCAATATATTTTTTAATTCTTATAAATTTTAATTTAATTTAAAAATAAAGTAAAAAAAATTTTTATTAAATTTTCTTATAAATTTTAATTTAATTTAAAAAAAAAGTTACTTTTGATCTTCCCATTAATCTAATATTGATGTTTAATAAATGTCAAAATCAAAACTTGTAACCTAATAAGATAGTATTTTGATGAAAATAGATAGTTTATTCGTTAAACTGTGAAAATCAAGGTTTGATGACGTGAAATCTATTGAATGGCAGTACTTTATCATTGTAATCATCGCTCGGCCGCGACCGGAAATTGTGCACCGTTTTATCAATACTGATTCTGCTAAAACATGATACCGCAAATTCTAATAAACTTCGCAACATTGACTCTGTTTGGGGAAACATCTACGTTTTACGTCTAAACAGATCTTTTTTAACAGCTAAGTTATTTACAATTATTTTGAATTTACTTTGAAACTATCCCATACATTTACTTTGACTTTTCATTTGAGTAAGCTTCAGAATCGATCGATCGATCGAATCGACTCCCGATAAAAATGGGTTGAATACTTGGTTCTTATTTTTTTAATGATAGGCGCCATTTTGATTCTGTCATACATATTCTATGAGCTATTTAAACAGGTGGTACACTTGCGGAGCCTAGTTGCTTGTACCCCTTGCTTCTACCGTTACATATATATGTCACCGTAAAACTGTAAACACCGTTAGATTGTAATCTATCTCGCGAGATTGTAAACTGTCGAAAGATTGTGAACTCAACGTACTGCTTACAATTTAACGTATTATTATTCGGTAGATTGTAATCTGTCGAAGTGAAACCGTCAAATTGTGAAACGGCCATTTTCTACTTTTCTATTGGTTATAAGTGATGTGACATTCTCGGTAAATTAATCGGATCGATTATTTCCTCATTTGTTATTTTTAAAGTTGAACCTAATCGAATCGATTATTTCCTCATTTGTTAATTTTAAATTTAAACCTAATATAACCATTACTTGTCAAATGTACATACATTACATTAACTTCATGTTTCAATTAGTGTAGGGTTCCAAAAATTTTGAAATTGAAATTATTCAAAAATAATCTATTTTTTAAAAGTGAAAATCGTGATTTTTTCGTATTACGTGATTATTGAGACGATACATACGAAACCTCGGGATACTTTAGAGTTTCAAGTGAATTTACTTAAAATGTTATCTTAAATATAACCACAATATTCACAGCAAAAAATCTGGAAATACAGAATTCGGGCACAAACAATAAAATTCAAGAAAAATGTAAAAACATTGAGGTCGCCTTGATACAAAACATTAATCGTGCTACATCCAAGTAACTGTTGACAGAGTTTCTTCGAAGATTAAAGATCCACCAGCGGCTTTATATTTAATCCACGTCTAGATAGGAAAACTTATTATACAATATGAAGAATTTAGAATTGTTTAATACAATCGGTCAATCTATATTGAACTTGCCTTAGGCATTATTACTACCAGTCATCTTTGAATACCCCATATACGAATACCATGATATACTGCCTAATCACGTGTCATTATATTAGCAGCTTGGTTGGGGTACCTACACAACTTCTGCCCTGCGATTCTGTAACTCACTTTTCGAACTCACACAGCGGTTTTCGCATCGGCGGTCGCTCTGAAATCAGTCGTGAAGCAGTCATTTTATGATTTGGCATTCTGATAAACAATAAACTAGAAGCTCCCACCTTTTCAGAATGCCAATTCATAAAATGACTGCTTCACGACTGATTTCAGAGCGACCGCCGATGCGAAAACCGCTGTGTGAGTTCGAAAAGTGAGTTACAGAATCGCAGGGCTGTTGTTTAGTCGTTTCTAAGAACGCTGAACCTCATATAACCAACATTATTGAGTACATTTGTTTGATTGAACCGTAAAGCAACTGCAGAACTGGAATTTATTTTTATATTAGAAATTCTAGAGGAAACGTATAGGTTAATTAACTTTTCCTTCAGTTACACTAAACATACAGGTTAATTAACGTTACTATTTTATATTTTTGCTGATTTTTTATTTGATTTTATTCTATCAGCAATGTAATGAAATTTTTAAGTCTTTCATTTTGTTCCTCACATCAACACTAACTATGCAAAAAACTCAGTTTTGTATCGCGCAGCCCGGACATACAACGACCAATATTTAAGCCTTGACTTGTTTAAGCTATCGCGGAATATGGTTAAAAGTGGTATTAAGAATATCCATAGCGCAAAATCACCTGCATCATGAGCATACCCCACATACACACCTTCACGTACTTACCCTCACTTTCACACCATCACACAACACAGCCAAATTACATATTACTTAGTTAAATGTATTGAATAATTTTTATTTATTTCCTTCCTTTTGTAAATTTTTGAACCTTTTTGTAGTAAAATGTATTAAGTATTTCATTCTGGCTATATTTTTAGTCTGTTTGTTATTATACAAAATTTATGTTAGCTGTAGGATTACGAAATAAATAAATAAATAAAATAAAGTCATGATGTACTCGTATATTACAATTCAATTTTTTATTATTTCATTAGTTCTATACTTAGTTACTCAATGCAATTAATTACGCGATAATAATTACGTAAGTTCATCGCGCTTCAGAGTTTATTAATTTCAAAAACTGAAACTCTAACATCGCATTTTGTTAAAAAAAGAAGACTTAATTGTACTTAATGGTGGTTCAAATTGTACGTTTAATTAGGCTTATATATTTGATATATATATATCAGTTCCTTAAGAAATTGCCAGAAAACTATTGTGTTTCCTTCTAACAATAGTTACGTCTATAGCGTGATCTTCAAGTATTTTCATTATTCAGCGTTTTTTGTTCGCATTACTAAGTGCTGCATACATTTCACATTGTTCAAGATTTTTTGTTGGCTCTAAACGGGTTAACAGGCCAGCTGCTACTTCGCTAAACTTCAATGGCGAGGACGAAATAAAAACTTAATCTTTTTATAAAAATCCTACAAATTTGCGACGATATTTTTAAATGGGTTTAGTCTTAAAAGGAATTTACCAGCGGTGGTTTATGTATACTAATAGGGAATGGCGGACTTTGTTAGTTTGGTTGGACTCAATCTTAGGTGAAAGGATCAAATTGATAAATATGATCTATATTTGCTATGAATAGTTCATATAATAGGAAGACTATATAACATCTATATTATATTTATCATTTAGATTATGTACATTAAGTAACTGTTAAATAGTATACAAAGTTGTTATCCTCCTCTTACATAAATTAATCTGTAAATCACGCTTCGACCGAATTAGCGCACGGCACTGTCATAAACTAATTTTAAATAGTTTATTTTATTTAAAAGGATAAGTTAGACCGCTGACCATAAAGATGACAACCGCTGCCCATGAAACCTCATCACGCAAAGGGTGCATTTCCGGCGTTTTAGGAAAGACCAGGCTCTTTTTCGTAAAATGCAAACTTTAAGTTTTTACTGATAATTCAAGTAAGATAACTCTTGAATTTGGATAGTACCGCATTTGGTTTCAGGATACCAATCCTTGAACCCTAAATACTATTGTAAATAACAGTTAATATACATAACCTAAGTCGATATTTTTATATCAATATAATAACTTAATTTTTTGTATATTTGAAACGAATCAATTTAAAACTACAAAACAAAAATTCTGTCACCAATAGTATAATACCTATATAAGATAGAAGTAAACCCCTGACTAAAATATAACCTTCGAATTAAAAAAATCCAGACGAATATATATACGAAACATGCCTATGGTAATGAAGTACCTATTCGTTCTTAAATAAATAACTTTTAATATAAATAACCAACGAATAAAAATATATCTTTTGGCCCCATAAAATATTTCAAAAAGCTTTGTTTGTTTTGTTCTACATATTAACGACCGGGGAAATAACACTCGAGGAAGGGTATTGCTACTATAATTCATTGCAATCAGTTGGGCGGTATAAGCTAACGCAATTTTATAATGAAAATAAGAATCACAATTACCTTGATTAAAACAAAAATCAAAAGAAACAACAAAAAATAAAACATTCAACTTTTTTTATTGAAGTTTTTAATTTTTTTACCTACGTTTAACTTAATCGTTATGCAATTTCATTGTTAGCATATAAAATTATAAATCTTTTAAATTTCGAACTAATTAGTAACATTATTTTATTCAACAATAATTAATTATGACTGACGGGGTATTGTTGTTTTTATAGTGTTGACGCTATAAATAGGTCAGAGAAATGAGAAAAGTTATTATTGGCCACAATAGGCGGTGTGAAGGAGACCTACATCAAAACGTTGTCACTGGAAGTATTCTCAGTTATTTTTTCGTATAACGTCGACCAGAGTTTTTATTCATCGACACTTCATTCATAACTTTGACAGGCCCTTTGTATCGGCGAACAATACAAACGGCACGTAAATCCTAATGAAAAACTGGGAAATTAAATTGTCTATAAACCCTATTATTAATAAACAAAAGATTAATCATTATTGTCACGGTATTAAAAAGTTGTACGAAGTTCCATGATTTATTACGAAAACAAAGAAAGTTCAAACTCACCTCAGTTTGACAGTATTTGCGACACCGGCTCCTCGTGAGAGGGCGCGAGGGAGCGGAACTTTTAGCCACGCGTCGGACGCAGCTCGAAGCACGGCCACCGACGATTCATTAACAAGGAGCGTGGAGGCTGTATGCCGCCCGCCCGCCGCGGCCGCCCGCCTACGCATGCGCATGAACCTCCAATCGCGCTCCTGTTGCATCTCTGAACGTCAACGTAAACGCGATGAATACGCTTAATCGTCGAACTGATGACAATCGTGTTCGAGAAAACCTTGAAGTGTCAAACTCTGATTTTCGATTTACAGACGATTTGTTGTTCACAACTCATAAATTTAAGGCTCTTATTAAAATTTATAATTTTAATATTTTATTTTAACTCTTCTAACATGTTATACTCTAACAGTGTGATATATTATAATATATATAATAAACACTATAAAATAAAGAAAACACTTTTTTACCGGATTGAAGTTATATATTATTATAAATTTAAAATTATGTAAAATAATTGTAAATGTATAATGTTACATAACTTCAATCCGGTAAAAAAGTGTTTTTTCTTTAAACGTGTAAAAGTTATGTCAATAAAAGACAATACTATTAAATAATTTACTTTATTCTGGCCACTAACAAGATATTCTTCGAAACTCCATATAATAGTTTTATTGTTAACGTAAATACAATTCGATGCTCATTAACGATAAGCTATCAAGGATAAAAAAGGCCAAAGCTCGGAAGATTTATTAAGCTAAGATTAGTTAATTAAATAATAATATAAAATCTCTATACGGACCTTCATCAGCCGAACAAGCAAAATCGTAATCCTTCGAAACACGACGGTCGTTATTTATACAGGGCTAATAGCCTAAACCCCGGCCGAGCTTCTCTGAACATGAAGCACTTCAATCCTAATCGATATATAGTATACAAATTTTATTAAATTTACACCTCGAAATTTTACTCGGAAAGGGATAGCATTTACAGACTTTTTTTAAAAACACATTCCAATTTCAAATACCCAACGCTACACGATTTTGTTTTAGATATGAAAAAGTTTTTAACTCCCAAGGCCAGCTAGAGTTCAGATTTAATTTTAAAAACAGTGTTATTCAAATTTAGAAATGAATATTAAAATTATTAATTTAAGACAATGGTGAAAAATCTTTTGGTATTCTTTTAGATACCGAATGATAAGCCCCGAGCCCCATATAAAAGAAATAATCAGATAAATAATGCCCTTGAGCGTTCCAGGCTCGCCCTTTGAGAGAAGATTTTAGAGATAAAGAAACGTAGACAGAAGAGGCGTGTAACAGAGCGATTTTGCCAAAATCCACTTAAGGAATTCTTTTGAAATTATGTTTTTTCAAAGTTTGAGATTTCTCGTTCTTTCATAAATAATAATAAATTCGTGAAATTTTTAATAATTATTTGAAAAGGAACAAACAACAAAAAATATTTTCAATAAGTTTATAAATAGGAATAAGAAGTCTTTTAAAACATTCTGTTTTTTTTACCGTATTATGTGTACATGAAATAAACATCTCATTCATTATTTACATACCTATATCTATATATATAAAAATGAAACCCGTTTTCCGTTGTCACGACATAACATGAAAACGGCTTGACCGATTTGTCTGATTTTTTTTATAATATACCTTGAAGTACGAGGATGGTTCTTACGGAGAAAAAATAAAAAAAAATTGAGTGAAAAAGTCTAAAAACAACACTTTTCTATATTCCCATACAAAATATTCGTAATAATACTTAAAAGTCAATTTGAACTTTAATACGATACCATAAAGTTCAAGTGTTAGTGGAGGGGTTCCGGAAAGGTAAATTTAAATTTTATTTTTTTGACATACCTAATGTATTTGTTGTCTTATCAATTTTCTTTTTTTTATCTTAGTAGCTAGACCGGTGTCCCGAATAGCAGAATAAGTATTTTAAACAAATAAAGAATCGACTGTTAGGCGGTACGATGTTCGCCAGGCCAGTTAGTATTATATATATATTTACATTTATTTCCAACGCAGAACCTACGCAAGGAATATAAATTTAATCTTCTAAAAATAGCTTAGAATCTTAAAGAAATGTTTAATGATAATATTACCTCATCCGGTAAAAGTTGTTTTGTGATAAGACAATCATTACAGTACCAATATATTGGTGGTTGGTGCTGGTGAAAATTAAAGGTTATATATCAATGTTTTTTTTTTGTAGTAGGCCATTATTATAAGCTAGTTATTAGAACGATTTTTGTTATTTTTAGGACCTTGCACATGAAATAATTCGTTACAATCGATCGAGCCGTTTCGAAGTTTAGTTACAATCACATGAGAATTTCATATATTTAGTATAATAATAACTTTGTATGTATATACTATCGTCTTGCAATTTCGCGAGTGCAGTTTCGCGATATACAAATTACAACAAAACTCGTTTTCCGCTTACAGCAAACATATACGCGTAGAACAGAACGTAAATTTTATTAAAGATAAAAGTACCAACATCAAACACTTATATAGACCATGGATAAAATTGACTTAAAGCAGGGGAGTCCGTTGCGTTCACAAAGGAAATTCCTTAGAAACGATCACAAGTAGAAAAATAACAACGGACCCTGGATTTGAAAACCTCACTTTATTATCCGTCTTTCCTTTAAATAGCTTAAGATGGTAAATATGTAGGTATACAAGTTTGTTACCCTCAATCGGTTTTGGTATGGATTATGTAATTTTAACCGCGCTTAATTTATTTTAAAGATAAAACACTTTTTGATGTATGGTATATTCCAAAAGCAAATACATTCTACTCTCTTTTCTCAAAAAAGATTAGTTAAAAGTAACAAACATTCTACATTTTTAACACCTCTTACAATAATATTCTAAAATATAAACCTTATGCCAACAGTCGTAGAATATTATATGAAATGTTCTTTACTAAATTCCCTTAAAAATTTATTGCATACGTCTAATCTTTAGTCAGTCGCCTTTACGTGTATTGCGAATTCAAATCTACACATTTAAGTAACATTAACTACTTATCGTTTTTAAATTTAAAAGTAAAGCGAATCTGGTCATAGATATATTTGTTTAAACCTCGCCACGTCTCCGTCTCATTTAGACGAGATGCGACGCGAGTGATGCGAATAAAGTATGCGGAATAGGGACCAATAAAATATGCAGATTTGACTGTGGCCGTATTTTTCTCAGTGTAATCTGCATTATTCAGGCTTTGTCACGAACTTCGACAGTTTAACAGCGTTTATCTCTCGCCTTGCAAATTGAGCTACGACTTTAAGACAAACGGGAGTCACTTTCATTATCATAATGGACCTCGGCCGATTCTTCACGACGACCGGCGAGTCATGGATGGATCGAGGATAGCATTTAAATGCATGATGAGCATTTTTGTTTAGATGGTTTTATCCGATTTAACATTTGTTAAATCGCAACAGGTTTAATTTATATCGGTTGCTATCTTCTACTTTGATACCATGTTGGTTTCATGTTTTAACAAAAAAACTTAACATTTGATTATATTTATTAATTAATTACAGCTACACCTATAGATATTATTAAAACAGAAAACATTTAGACAAAATACAAAGCCAAAACAGATTGCATTGTTAAACAAAATATACGAACTAGAAAACATAAGATTATTAATTACATAAGTAGATAAGAAAAAAAACTGAAATTAAACTAAATAAACTACAACTTAATACTTTAAAACTAAAATTAAATAATTGAATAATATTTACAGAAATCAACTTCTAGAAAAGAAAAAGAACGAGAAATAAAGTTTAACATTACACCAGAATCTTATTATTACTTATTTTATTATTCTTAGTTTTATACAAATGTTAATAACTATAAGTAGTAGGGTATGGTACACCATTCACAACATTTACAGATATACCTCCTTTTCATAAAAACCAAGTCGCAATTGCATTTAAACTAAAGTACCTCTTTTCAACACAGCGTAAATATAATTGGACAAAAAAGACGAAATCCCAATATGATGATTTAGTTTTTAAAACGATTCGACTCTTGTTTTACTCGTAATTATCTACTATCAACGTTCTTTCATTTCAGAATGGACAAATTGTAATTATGTTCTATTAAAATAAAACAATATTTATTTTTGTCCTAAACAAACATCTGGCATCAGTTTTGTATATGATATTAATACTCCAATTGTTTTAATGTTTTCTACCCACCACTTTCTTTAAATACTACAAAAATTCTTACAGAATACATCATGTGATAATAGTGCACTTGCACATAAAACATTAGTGAAAGGCAAGAATGGGTGGTCGCTAGACCAAAGCTAATCGCTGATAGAATGGCCAGCCACTTGCCACAGATTGAACTATTGATTCGTGGCGGACTTTTATGTTGAAATATGTAGCAATAATATGAACTCTGACCATTTATTAACTGCTTAACGTTTTATATACTGAATGAATATTTTAGTAATTGAATCGATTTTAGGACAAATACTTTTTAAGACTAAGATTTTGTCGAAACTATTTTCATCCTGCAGAAGAGGGCTATTCGTGCAATCTATAATTTAAAATGTAGGATCTCTGAAAGATAAATTCAAGAAAATTAATATATGTACTTACCTTTCCCTCGCAATATATTTATGAAAATATTATGTATGTATACAAAAATAGTCATAAGTTTACTAGAATAGAACATACGCACAATGTTAATACTCGGAACAAACGCAGGCTGCAATTTCCCCGTACTAGACAATCTAAAGTTAGTTATTCTTTTTTGGGAAAAGGGATACTCTTCTTTAATAAAATCCCAGAGGCTCTTTTATCTCTACCTTTTAATAAATTTAAGAAATGTATTAAAGAAAAGCTGTGTAAAAAGGCTTACTATAAAGTTAACGATAGTTGATAAAAGGGCCTGGGACTAGTGCTAGACAGGCTACTTCTAATTTATTTGCGATATTTGTTTTAAAATAAGTGTTGTTTGATGATTTGCTATTTTAAAAGAGTACCGAGAGTTTTTTACGCTGGCTTTTTCTCTCGGCCTACACCTTCTGTCTTCTTTGCCAATGAGTAGGGACGCCTACAGATTCAAATTTAATGACGTGGAATAAGTGATACCTGCATCTTATGTTGCATAATAAACATATTTTTTTTTATAGAAACAGGTTTTGAATACTTTTACATATTCAA